TGCGTCTCATCCCTTGTTACGTGCTATGGCTGGATTTGAATAGATTGCATGAAAGTATTTAGTGTGGAGGCATTCTGGTATGTTTTAAATTTAGATTGTGTGCCCCTCAGAATATGTGGTAACATGTGTAATTAGGATGCTTATTCCTTTTAATGTGGATTCAATGGCTCCCGATTCGGTATTTATAGTTATAACTTTTGCATTCAAGCTATTACTTTATTGCTGCTTGTTTTGCATTTTGGGCTGTCCTCTGTTTAACACTTTCAACATGAAATGCGTGACTTCTTTTCGTGTTCTACGGATTCAGTGTTTATAGTTAGAACATCTTACCTTTTATGCTTCTTCATTTGCATGTTGGGTTGTCAGCTGCTTAATTCTTTCAACATGTAGACTTCTTGTCGTGTTCTCCGAATTCATTTTTAATTGTTAGAACCTCTGAACTTACATGCTTCTTCATTTTCATTTTGTTTGTCATCTGCTTTACTCTTCCAACATGAAATTGTGACTTGTCGTGTTCTTCGAACAGTGTTTATAGTTACAACTCTTGCATTCTAGTTCTTACTTTATATGCTTCTTCATTTTCATTTTTGTTGTTGGCTGCTTAAACCTTCCAAAGTGAAATGTGTGGATATTTGTTGTATTCTTTGAATTTAGTATTTATGGCTAAAATTTCTGCATCCTGGCACTTTACACTTTTTTTTACCTTCTTGTTTTTCGTCTGGTTTTGGTCTTTTGAAACTCATCTGCTCAATGTTATTTTGCAGGCCATCAATTGTTGTTTCAGCCGTTGCTGTAATTCTTCAGAATGGCGGATGGTCACGAGACTGATAAGAACATTGAGATTTGGAAGATTAAGAAACTGATCAAGGCACTTGAAGCTGCAAGGGGTAATGGAACCAGCATGATTTCTCTCATCATGCCTCCCCGGGATCAGATTTCTCGTGTTACTAAGATGCTTGGTGATGAATTTGGAACTGCATCGAACATTAAGAGCAGGGTGAATCGTCAATCTGTTCTTGGGGCTATTACTTCTGCTCAGCAGAGGCTCAAGCTTTACAACAAGGTTCCTCCTAATGGGCTTGTGTTGTACACGGGGACCATTGTTACTGACGATGGGAAGGAGAAAAAGGTTACCATTGATTTTGAGCCTTTCAGGCCCATCAATGCATCTCTTTACCTCTGTGACAACAAGTTCCATATTGAAGCGCTGAATGAACTCTTAGAATCTGATGACAAATTTGGCTTCATTGTCATGGATGGAAATGGGACACTTTTTGGGACATTAAGTGGAAACACCAGAGAGGTGCTTCATAAATTTAGTGTTGACCTTCCAAAGAAGCACGGAAGAGGAGGGCAATCAGCTCTACGTTTTGCTCGTCTTCGAATGGAGAAGCGACACAACTATGTTAGGAAGACAGCGGAGCTTGCAACCCAGTTTTATATTAATCCTGCCACCAGTCAGCCTAATGTTTCAGGATTAATACTCGCTGGGTCAGCTGACTTCAAAACTGAGCTTAGTCAGTCAGATATGTTTGATCCTCGTCTGCAGGCCAAAATACTGAATGTGGTGGATGTTTCTTATGGAGGAGAGAACGGTTTCAACCAGGCTATTGAGTTGTCGGCAGAGATCCTGTCCAATGTGAAATTCATACAGGAAAAGAAGTTGATAGGAAAATACTTTGAGGAGATCAGCCAGGATACAGGAAAGTATGTTTTTGGTGTGGACGACACACTAAAAGCTCTAGAGATGGGTGCTGTTGAAATTCTCATTGTGTGGGAAAGTCTCGACATCAATCGGTATGTGCTGAAAAATATTTCTGGCGAGATTATAGTGAAGCATTTCAACAAGGAGCAGGAGAACAGCCAGAGCAACTTCCGGGACGCTGCCAATGCAGAGCTAGAGGTTCAGGACAAGATGTCACTGCTGGAGTGGTTTGCAAATGAGTACAGGCGCTTTGGTTGTACTCTCGAGTTTGTCACCAACAAGTCACAGGAGGGGTCACAGTTCTGCCGTGGTTTTGGTGGAATTGGGGGGATTCTTCGCTACCAGCTTGATATGAGGTCGTTTGATGAGTTTTCTGACAATGAAGAAGTTTATGACGATTCTGAATAGCAATCAATCAACTCTTCCCCAAAACTGGTGCAGGAAGGTGGGGTGCAAAAAGCCTGCACCAGTGCGCACGGAGTCGTGGTTGCTGCTGCTACTCCTGAGCTATTGACAGAAACATGCTCACGCTTGATTGAGGTATCTATTTCTTCCCTCTTTAATATAAATAAAATTATTTTCTTTTACAGCAATCAGTCCTTTTATCACGTCTTTATTTCTTGAAGGACATTACATTATCTGATCCCGAAAACCTTGATCTGGTGATTTCGTCTGGATCGCAGAAGAGGCAAGGAAAATCGATCATATTGGACGAGGATACAATGCCGAGGGCTGCTTCCTTTGGGCCAAGACCTTCCGAACATATGCACCCATGTATCGAGAACCCCATAATGATGCTGGATTGTGGTCATTGGGGTTGCGCATTTGGTCATATAGTTGTATTTGGTGGTTTACTTGTGACTTAAGCCGTGTTGTGTCGTGTCGTGTCTTGTCTGTCTTGCGAAACAATTTACTAGTATCGATGTGGTATTGTCTGTCTTGTGAGACAATTTACTAGTATCGTTGTGGCGGCGCATCTCTGAGATGGAGCCGGGCTGAATAATCATGTTTGAACTAGGAGTTATCTTTCTCTTATCTGCTTGTGATGACTCTAAACAAGTAATCTATGCTTATTGTGACTATACTCCTCATCTTTCTTGATACGTTGGATTCCTCTGGATGACTTGGAATTGGTTTGGTCATGGAATTCTTTTGGATGCTTTAAGGGAAAATGCTTTTAGGTTTTAAAAGCCCTCGAAGGGGTTTTTTTTTTTTTTTTTTTTTTTTTTTAATTCTTCTCCCGGAAGGATTTACTTTCATTTTTACCAAAGATTAGTTCTAAAAATGTTCGCACTTGGTGCTTTCAGTCATTTTAAAAATAACTTATAACAAACGTAAGTACGCTTATTTTTTTAGTTTAAGACATGCCCTTGTTTATTATTCATGTCACTTATTTTCTTTTTATTTATTCAATTTAACAATCAGAAACAGAGAGGGTATACAAGGAATTTAAATAAGGGTAAGTATGGTAGCAACCCCGTAACTTATATGGCAATGTCTCTTATATGTTGGCGAATCCAGTAGTGTTTGGATACAAAACTAATGAAACACATAAATCATGGCACATCTGTTGGTGTTCAAATAAGGTGGTGCTATCCACGCTAATTTTTATATTTTTTGATCTTTCGATTTATTTGTTTGAAGGCTTAACATTGAGTGAAGTGTGTGGAAGGTAAAACATGGGATGTGGATAGCACCACCCTTTGAAAATTGGTGTAGTAAATTTCATGTCTAAGTAGTGGTCATTTTGAAAACATGTGATGTGGTTATAATATAGGCGTAAGATTTTGGCTGTCATTTTTAGCCTCGTGCACATTCACGTTTACTTCTGGTCTTTCAGTGGAATAAAGCAAAGGAGAATTAATTGGCAAATAAATAGGAATGTCAGAAGAAGAAACTATGTGCAAAAATTATTTTTTCATTGTGACATTTTTTCTATTGGAAATGATAACCGCACACAAATATTCTTCTCTTACACATAATTATTTATTTATAGTCATCAAATTCAATAAATCACATAAAAATAACGAACATGATTGAACACAAAGTGTGTAATGTGAAAACAAAATTTAATAAATGAGAACAAAAGAGAATGGCAACTAATGGCCCAACACGAAAACAAACCCTAAACCACAGCGAGGATGAAGCCCAGGAAGAACGGCCCATATAAACAAGTGGGGGTTGCAACTTGCAGCAGGTGATAATTAGGTCTAGCGTTCGAGTTGCGGTTCGTCTATAAAAAGGCCGCTTTGATATTCATTCGGTGGAACACTGAATACGCGGACGCGGCCGCCGCCGTCCCAATGCCTCAAACCCAAGGCCCCAAAATTCTGCAGAATCCTTTGTTTCCGTTGTTTATTCCTCTCTGCCTTGTTGATCGATCGATACTCCACCTTGTTCTTCACTTTTCATTTCTGCGGATAAATTCTTATTTGCATTTGCATGGTGTTTTTTTTTTTTTAATTTAATTTTATTGCTTTCTCAAAACTTTCTTTCATTTGATTGGATTAAGTTTTGCATTTGATTTGATGCGAAGCAGCAGCAGCTCCCGATGATTGAACTCCATTTATATATTAAAAGTTTCAGCCTTGTCTGAATCAATTCCGTGTTGATAGGTTTTTACGTTCTGAGGGAGCTGCCTCATTTAATTTTTTAGTTTTACATTTTTTGTTTTGTTTTTTTTTTACCAGCATGGCAACCGTGGAAATTGCAGAAAAGTATTCGAAAGTAAAAGATCCAGTTAGGAAGGGAAAAAAGGTTTTCTGAACATGGTACCCCAGAAGTCCCTCAGGCAACTCATGACCTGCATACGTTTTGGAACACTCTTCTTGTGCGATACTGCGGAGGGTCCTAACTCAAAACGCTTATTTAATAAGTACTTGTGCTCATAAGCCGTTTCGTTACAAGTAGAACACAAATTTTATCAAAAAACTAAGTTACATTTCCGCAGTGGACCGCCGTTCCAGAACATCCTCATCCAATTTGCAGCATTCTTGTTCAGTGATGAAGAGGTTTGAGTATAAGACTGGCCGCTAAAGGCGGCCGTGCGTGATCGTAGGGCTGCGTCCGGCAAACGCTGAAGATATCGCTCCGTGTCTGTGGCCGTGGAAGCAATAGACAATTCTTGGGCGCGATGAACTCCGCCAGTGACCAATGCCAAGACCACAGTTATGTCAAATGGAACATCTCGAATGTCACTGTTTAATTTATAGCTTATAGTGCAAGAAAACGGCATGAAAAATGCAAAACCGATTAAAAGTTAAACATCCGTAGTAAAATGTAACATTGGAACAAGTAAGAAAAAATTGTGCAGTGGTTGACGGCTTTCGTTATTTTGTAACTCAAACAACACGAACATATGAAATTTGACACAAACTTTGTATCAACATAATACAGATATGAACCGTTCCAACTCTCCCAAAAGCAATGTTAGAAAGGGAAAAGATTAGTGTTAATTAATCAGGCAAAAATAAATTGTTCTTACACAGGCAGAATCCCCTTGTTCTCTCGTATATATTGAACAGAGTTCAAGGAATAGCAGAGTTTCCGAATCAATAACTTTTCCAGGCGCAGCCAAGGGGTTCGAATCGGACAAGCTTTACGATGCCAGGATATATTTGGATTCTCCTACTCCTGCAAGAGGAAAAAGTACATTAGTACTAGAACCAGAGAATATCAACCAACATATCATATAAGTTCGCCTACCCACATACAGACCACAGGATCATAACACATGCGAACACAGTACTAATTTTATAACAAATATCCTTCTCAAAATGGGCTCAGCAATTACACAATCTAACATATCAATTATCAACCTTGCTAAACAATTGATTCTTCCCAAGTGGATCGAGAAGTGATAAGGTCAACAAGGTCGGGGTGTTTGACCGTGGACAATCCAAAAGCATGATACGGTGACTCTCAAAAGCTCTCCAATTCAAATCTCAATGCAACCGTTGGACTAGCTCATTTACCTACTCATCCTGCAATATCCCAAATTTCTCGGTGATAGATCACAGTATCTTATAAATAGTACTGAGTGTTAATATATCATCCATGTAAACACTATCGACAACATAGCAGCTCATCTTCAATTATTTTTTCCAGTGAGCTAGGCATAACTAACATTCATAAGACAATACACAAACTAAAATATAGGGCCGCAGATGTTTTATTACATTATGAATGCCTTCTCACATTGGTCAACAGAACTATAGGGTTGCAGAATCTTCCAGTTTCTATAGAAACTAAAATATGCCTAAATAGGAACATGAGAAGCAGAGGGAAAAAGGAAGAGCAGCTTCAAAATAGGACTACACTAACTGAAGCACTTGATCCTATTTCCATATGAATCACTAATGAGAAGAAACCAAAAGCCATCAAAACCTAAGCCTGCAGAACTGATGGGAGGTACAATAGTATGTTTAAGATGAAATGAATTCCGATTGCTGAAGAAATAAACAGACAAAGGCTGAACCGAACTCATCCTATTTCCTTCTGTCCATTCCCTATGCCCTTGCATTATGACAATATTATAAGCCAACAGAGTCCCTCTTGTTTGTAAAGGGCCTGTTTGTACATTGCATTATTTGAAAACAATAACACCACTATCTTGATTTATAAGATAATTTTTTAGGCCATCAAAGTTGTATGCATCTTCTTACTCGAAGAACACGAGACCTTCTACAACAGTGCACAGAGACGAATAAAAAAAAAAAAAAATACTTTAAAAACTGTAGGAAGTGCATCGATACCTGTTCCATCACTTCAGCTTCATCGTTCTTCTGCTCCTCCATCTCTTTTGGTTCAGTACTAGCCTCATTTTCAGTAGTTGTGTCCATTTTATCATCCTTTTCTTGGACACTATTGGGTTCAGCATCATCATCAAAAATTTCCAAATCTGCAGGAAGCTGACCTGACTTCAGTGCCTGCTCATGCAAAACAAGTAGAATGTTAATGTAAAAACATTAAGAGATAAGACATCCAGAAAATTGTGAAGTAGTTCTCAGCTTGAGCAAACAACCTTTTCAAGTCTAGCAACCTCTTCAAGAGTTGAGGAATTCACTATGGCAGCCTGCATATGGACAAACAACATATAAAATAATTGAAAACCTAAGATGACTCTACAAATAGCTGCAAAGTAGGAGAAGAAACCACTGAAACAAAGCAATAGTCTATCACAAAAGACCAAATTCTCTATCATTTCCCACAAATGGATATCTTGAAATATCAGAATAACTTTCAGTTGGGACAACTAATGGTGTAGTGTTTATGACAGTATGAGATACCACTCAAATATAATAACCATAATTACTATGATTTGAACCTAAACAGCAAGGAGAAGATAATCTAACATGGAGAATAGACAATGTATCAGAATTGCTCAATCAGTTAATACTGGTGAACAAATCAAATCATAGAGGTTGGAAAAATTATTCATAATTTCATACTACCGTTTAGTCATTAGTAGAGGAAAAAAAGAATACCCCTAATTAACTGTCACTTCCTTCACAGTTAGAACGCGGACTTAAAAAAAGACTATGAAAATTGCTGTTTCTTGAATAAAATTGCATTGATTACAAAAGTAATTGCATGGTGAACTTTGTCTCTCCTGGGTTCATTTAAATAATATTTTCATTCATTTTACTAACAGCTCCAATGTGAGAAAGACGTGGTCTTTCCATGCACATCGTCACAGAATATAACGATTGATGAAATTATGTAAAAACTTGATAGCTAAGATTACCTTGATTTTCATAATTTGTTCAGGAGTGGGGGCAACAACTTTTGGAGCCTGTTGTTCCTGGGAAACTTCTGGAACCTCTGCAGGCATGAATTTTTGGGGAGATACCTTTCTAGTCTCTTCTTCAACCTCTTTAGATGAAAACAAAGTTTGTGCTTCCAGTCTCTCCTATGATTGATAGAACAAGACCAAATAATAAATAATCCAGGTGATAGGTACAAAAGGAACAAGCTAATCTTCTATGAAAAATAGCATTCTATTTCATATTTCCACTTTTTGGGTGAAACTAGTAAGAAACAAGCAGAAGCCTTTGATACAAGTTAACAAAAATGAGGCATTTGGAAGGGCAAAGTTTCTTTAAAGCTATAAAACCAAAATAATATTGTGTAATGTCTGAGAATCAGACCCTACAGAAATTGATATTCAGTACCTTATGAGTTAAAAATTTAAAATCCAAAATCCCCCAGGACAAAAAGCGTCACAATTATAATACAAAATTACACGGTAGCTAAATACAGTATACCCAAGCCAGTTTTGCTCACAAGATTTGTGCTTCTGTCATGTCAGTATTGACCTCAGCTACGTAATTCATGACATTCTAATACTAGGTATTAGTGTTCCATTAGTATGTTATTCCTAGCACTGTAAAACCACCTCATAAATGGTACCATAGAAAAGTAGCACCCACACCACAACAACAAACATAAGTTTGGCAATTTAAAATTAACTCACCTTGTTCTTCACCTTCTTAAAATCCAGAACCCGAAGCGATTTTAACTTATGAATCAAGTAAAGCCTATAGTTGGGTTTCTTGGTGATGTTGTTATCCAAAAGGCTAAGGTACTGCAACTTTGGGAGGGACGCAAGAGGGTCAATCTCTACCAGGTTGACTAGCCTGTTGTTGGTAAGCACCAAGGTGTGTAACTTCGGCAAGAACTCTGCATTTACATACAACTAAATACTTGGTAATAAAAGATAACATGATGGTATGAGATCAAAGTGACAGAAGGATAGAAGTTAGTTACCTCCAATGTTGGGATTGATACGGGTGATTCGGTTGTTATTAATAATCAAAGTACCCAAACGATTAAGATAGGGCATGTTTTCGAGCTTGACGATTTCATTGTCAGACAAATCAACGGTGTCAAATTGGTCCTGTTCAAATTAAAGCGAAAAACCATATTTCATTCAACTAAATTCAGTAATTTGAAGCAGATTAAATCGAAAAAACGATGGCTTGAAGCGATTATAGTTATATTTAAGTAAATCACACCTCTGTAGCTCCCAAGTTTTCAATCACAGCAATCTTATTACCTGACAACAAAAAGGAAGCGAACAGTTTCAATTATCAAAACCCTAACGGCGTCAATGTAGGGTTTGGAGTTGGGAATTGGGAATTGGAATTGGAATTACCTCGGAGATCCAACTCTCGCTCCTTAAGAGCATTGAAGAAGTGAGGGCTCTTCCATACCAAGTCGGCAGTCAGCCTCACCATCTCTCTCTCTCCCTCTCTTAGCTTCGCTGTTCCGCTCCGTCGCTGTTGGCCTGGCCTTAAACCCTAAACCTCTACTCTCTCTGCTACTAATTCGGGTCGGAGCTCGGAGGTCACCAGCCACTAAAAGTTGAAATTGAAAACCTAGGCGGCTAGTTAATTGTGCGCCTACCTGGCTGCGGCGTCGTTTTCGTCTTTTTGTAATTTAATTAAATTTTCGCTTTCGTCCTTTGCATTTTCCATTTTTGGAAGAGTTTAGTCCAATTCGTCAAATGGCTTTCTTTCAAAATCATATAATTTCTTTGTTAAAAAAAAATCATATAATTTCTGAAAATTTAATAAAATGAATTGAAATGAGGCCCAAATTTGATGTAAATATTCTTGAATTTTGGTGCTAAAGCATAGAAAAAAATGCATTACAACTCTAACTTGATTATAAACATCGAGTGTAAAAATCATAATCCGAAGATACGTTTATAGTTCCAAAAGGATGTTCTTCAAAAATCCGATGCTTATTCAGAACAAAAACTGCACAAATTATGATTGTGATTTTAAGTTTGAAGATGTGCACAAAATTACTGAAAAATCAATTTATATGATTAACTAAATTAAGGTGAAAACAGAACAAGAAATGACGTTATGATAAATTCAATTAAGTTGTATTTTGATGTGCTTACTCAACTTGCACATGATATGTCATTCACTACTACAGTCTAGTAGTATTTCTCTTTATTTGTAAGTGAAATATTTGAATTTCGTAGATGACGAATTCGACATTAAATTAGATTACCGATTGTGTAGCTTAGTTAGACTCTGCTTCTTCTAATTTTAAATATATCGTTGTTCTAAAAAAATAAAAAATAAAAAAACTTCGCACACGATTTGCAGATTTGTTGGATTAGGAAGTTGGTGACTTTTATGATGGCATACTTTATTTGCAGTGGTATGCAGGCCCTCGTTGCGCTTAAGAATCTTCTGCAACTCAGGACAACCGCAGCTCTCAAGCCTCTCGTTTTTAAGAACTTTTGTGGGTTGGATGGTGCCTTGGAGATATTGAGGCAGCGACTGCAGGGTTTAATGGTGGTGGAAGACCACAGACATTATGCTAGGGATGTGCAAAGCATCCGCAATGAAGTGCAGCAGAATTTTTGGTTGGAAAATTTAATAATAATAATATTATATTAAATTTATTAATTGAATGGAAATTAGAAGTTGAGCTTTTTGATAGATAGATGTGTCTACTTAAATGAAGACTTACAATTTTTTATTCTTCATGAATAGTCACATGTTTTTCAAATACGTATCTCACATTCTATAAACAGGAAAGCCTTCTAATCATATATAGAGTGCACTAAATATTAAAGAGTCTCATTGAGTCCGTATGTGAGAGTTTTCAACATAATCGTGGTTCATGGAACCTTGTGATTTGGAGTGCTACTATTATAAGGACGTGGTCGTTGTATCTTGGGAGACATGTGCCGATCAACCATGAGCACCGTAGTGAGGCGTAAACTTGTCTTAAGGACAAAGTGTCCAACACTTGCCTCGACTATATTTTCTAGGTTTTTCTAATCCATTATATCATGTTCATGTAACATTGGTTACTCATGTGCATGCATTATTTTGATATATAATTCCATGAATTATTTCTTGATTTTCTATGTCATTTATTATAGCAATCAGACCCCTAATTTTTTCAACATTTTTATAGAAGGCTGGAAGCCTGGAAGAGGTGGCTACTAAACTTGTTTTGCGTAGCATTCTGTTTAGTAATTTACTTTTGGTCTTAACTACCATCCTATTATTTGCTTTAACTTAGCGTCTTATGGAAATGACAGGTAACGCGAAAGGGTGGTCAGGGGAAGTTTGAAATGCATATGTGAGTTTTCCGGCCTCCAAAATGGTGGACTGCCGTAACGAAGCCATTAGCTAGTCTTTTTTTTTTTCTAAGGACAGGTAACACGGGTTACCACATGATGCAAACTCAATCCTTAAAAAACATTACATACATGGGTACGTCTGGTGCGCTTGTAATTTATGTAATACTCTTGATCTTGGATTTGTACATAGCGAACATTTCGAAATCTGGTCTCTTTCCGCAGAAGGGAGACTAGGGTAGGCTTTGGTTGTAACTTGTAGTCATAGATCGATAGGTGAAACTTCAAGGGCAGAAATGTTATATGTTAAAGTTACGATCTTCTTGGAAAATGAATTTAGCTTGGCAGCCAGCTTATCCAAGCATCTCTCGGTGAAAATGAGGTTTCGTTGTAAAACTAATTGACGATTAGCAAACTAGTTATATGCATGGGTACCTAAAAACACGGGCGATCGTTGCATAATTGATCGTTGGATTTGATCTAAAAACTTAAAGTTTAACCTTTGGATATGATGCGACAGCTTGAAAAAAACGTCAGCGCTTAGTGCATATAGTTACCAAAGAAAAATCAACTAAATATATGGGGTGGAGATTGGACCAATGTACTACTTATGATTTTCTATATCATTTTCCTAGTCTTTCCTCACTAGGTACCGTAAGAATGAAAATTGAATTCCTCTTCGTCGTGGATTTGCTCAAAAATACGTTTGAATTCATCAACTTGTTATGAAGGATGGCAACGTGTGCGACCGATCGAGCTCACGTCAACTTCTATTTGTCGTGCAAGAAAACAAACATTTTGAGTGGCTTGTCTCAATCATCATTTGATCAAACGTCTTGTGTTCGAATTCATTTCTTTTCGTAGGACCGCAAAGAAATTTGATATGTTGTTGAACTCTAATCACTATGGCATCAACTTTAATCATATGATCAACATGCCGTGGATGTTCAAAAATTAAAATTAAAAGTATGATCATATTAACTTAAAAAATTGGGAATTTTTTATGGGCTTGAAGCAGTAGCATCAACATATTATGACAAAAAATATTACATTTAATTTAATTTAATCACCAACCAATTAGAATTAGTAGTTTATGTAGTTGAAGGGTTGGTGTACAACACCTTGTATTTTATAACTCACCAAACTCCGGGGTGCAACTTGCGTGTAGGTGGCTCGATACGGTGGGGAGGCGGGTTGGGGCGTGTGGTGATGGCTGCTAGGGTTGGGTGGGTAGGTAGGGGATTTGGGGTTACAGGGTGGCTGCTAGGCATTGGATTTAAGGTATCGTTTGGTATGCAGACGAGATGGGACGTAACGGAATGGGACGGGACGGGACGGGACAGGACGGAACGGAACGGACCGGGAGCAAAGATGCCCTCGGATGGAAACAAGGAGGAAGAAGAAGGAGACAGAGAGGTTATAATTTTGTGTTCCATGGATGTGGAACGAGTCGTTCCAGGGGGGTGAAGTGGAACAAAAATTCACCCAAAACTCGTCCCGTGGAACAGCTCGTTCCACCCGTTTTAGGTGCACCAAACGTGGGACGGAACACCTTGTCCCACTCTGTTCCGTCCCGTCCCACGTATCAAACGGTAGAACAAAAGCTAGTTTGAAGTAACTTTCCTGTGAACAAAAAATTAAAAACGTTTGTTTTCATAAGCGCAGATAGAGCTACTTTTGCTTTCTGCTGTTTTCGAGTTATGATTTTGACCAAAAACAATTTTAGTCCCAATTAAAAAAAAAAAAAAAAAACTGATTTCAAAATAATTTCAACAATACCTAACCATGGTTAGCCCAAATCCTCTTCTTGATCAATTAGACCCCATCAAAACATCTCCCTACATTACATATAGATTTATACAAAAATCTTGTTCAGCATATCAGGTCAGTAGCCGTCGGTTGGTGTGTTGGTGTCTGGTGATGATGTTTAAGGATATTCTAAGGAATAAATTTGGTGAACTTATAAAACGTTACATTTATAATTTAATGGTGTGTATAAAAAAATGGTAGTGTTTTTCATACATTTATTTTTATTTATGACATACTATTTTCAAATTTTAACTATTAAATTGAATGAATTGAAGAAGAACAACAATAAAAAATTAACAAGAGTATGAGAAATAAAAATGAGTGTGTGAATACCATTACCCTATAAAAATTGAGCGTAAACTTAGATAAACTTCGGTGTTGGCATTTTAGCTAAAATGGTATCTGAGATTGACATAATTTCTCATTTTGATTCTTAAAATTTGAAATAAATAAAAGTCAACCGTCAATTATTTTGACCATTGCGTAAAAATATTTGTTAAATAAAAACTAAAATTGTTCAATAAAGACTAAAATGACAATACCCTAATAAATAAATTTAAAAAAAATCAATAGTCAAAATACAGCGCAACGAAAAGTACTAAAAAAAAAAAAAAAAAAGTTGTGATCTTGGGCCGCACGTGTCGCAATTTTCTTAGAATTTGGACAAGCAATCGCTCGTCTTCACATCTACCAGTCCCGCCACCGGACGCCTAGATTCTAGAGAGAGAGAGAGGGAGTTTCAGAGGAGAGAGAGACTTGGGGTGTGGAGGAGCGTGGACTAACTAACAATGGCGTTACAGACGAGTACCACCAGCAATGTTCTGCTCCTGCAATCCTCCCCGGTTCCGTGTCGGGTCGATTCCATCCGGATCCAAACTCGAGTGGTCGGAGCTGGAATCTGGGGTTGGAGGAGAACGGGAGGAGGAGGAAGGGTTTGTATGATCGCATGCAAGAGTAGCAGCGGTGGCGATGTGCCCAATTCGAATTATGTGGTGCCTCTAGACAAATCGTTTTCGTATTCCAACTCGTCCCTCATCACTCGCCCTCTCACTGAAATCCTCAGAGATCTCAACAAGCGAATCCCTGATAACATCATCCATACGGCAGCTGAAGGTCCCTCCTCCACCTTCATCCCCTGGTAATTTTCTTTCCTCTCTCATTTGATTTTCTCGTTGACCAAACAAATCTCATGGAACTTTTGTGTATTGGGTAGGTACCATGCCAACCGGATGTTGAGCTTCTACGCTGCTGGTGTGTCCCTTCTTTTCCTCATCTTCTCAATTTGCAAATTCATAAGCTTTCAATCATAATTCCTTATAATCTCAATTTTTAATTGCTCTAAAATACCCAACTTTTTTTTTTTTCAGAAAAATTTTGCAAATTGTTTCTCTCCCTTTTGTAATCAATACTTGGTAATTTGTGTATTTTTAACTGCTAATCTGATTTTAGCAAGCAATTAGCTGTCTGTAATCTTCATCAGTCTCATGCGTTTCGGCAAGGAGATGCCATGTTATGTGCATTTTTCATTTCAATCATTCTTCAATATTTGTGCAAGTACACTACTACGATGTATGTTTGGTAATTGGAGTGCGTGTTATTCATCATTGCTCTTAATCCCAAATTCGTCTTTAGTTTACGAAACCTTGATGCCTTCATTATGAGTTTTAGGCAGAGTATTAAGATTAGCAACCCAATTCAAGTTTATGAGCTTCAGGTAGTTCGCCCGACTGCTACTCTCTCTTGCCCTGTGTAGTGAACTGTGACTAAATTTACTTTCTCTGACCACTTAATTTAATTTCTAGTGAATCTCCACATGTTATCAGCTGTTAACATTCTCTTTTACAGGATGGTGTGGAGAAGTCCGTGATGTTATATTTTCTGACAATGGAAGCGTGACTGTGGTATACCGTGTCACTGTACGTGGATCTGATGGAGAGGTCTGGCCCTTCTTCTTCTATCTACTGCGGTTTATTTCTACATTATAGCATATCATGTTTGATAACTATTTACCTGTGATAATAATATTCATACCTCTGACTGTATTTTCCTTCTGTGTGATTGCTTTGAATTTATGGAATCGTGGTCCTAAAAACAACTGGTACTATCAAGTATTAGGAAGTGAATCTTTCATGTACTATTAATTTAAGAGGTTTGGAGAGTCTCCTCCATCTTATCTTTTTGGTGGTTGATGCACTTTTTTAGAATTTTCACGATAGTTTTAAGATGGAGACTTGGGTGGAAGACAAAAACGTTATGCTAACGAGCACTTAATACATACTGAAGTTAATGTGGATTTGAATTCTTGAAGTGTTAAATGACCTAAAACTGAGTGCCCAGAAAGCGTCACAAACCTTATATGCAAGAAAATGCCTAAGGAAAGAGCGAAACAGTCTACACAAGTAAACAATTAGAAGCATGTCTTTATCTCTTCTAGTTCAAAATCAAAGGCAGTGAGGTAATGTATAACTACTGGCTGGATGCCTTGTTTTCGGGGAGTAGTGCATTGCCAATGTTATATATGATTTCACCATCATCGAATTCTTGTCATGGTCTTTATCTCCACAAGTTTCAATTGTAAATCTCCTGTTTTAAAATGGTGCCTTGAGGAACATACGATAACACCTACAGTTCTAATATTTGATCTGACACACCAATGCAGGCACACCGTGAATCAAGTGGAACAGTAACACCCAGTGACGATATTGTCGATCCAGTTGCTGCAGCTGAGCAACTTGCTTTCTGCAGAGCGTGTGCTCGGTTTGGCCTTGGCCTGTATCTGTATCATGAAGATTAGATGCAAAGAGACGGGAGGGTTGAGCTGCTCATCGTGTCATCCTTTCGTTTGATTCGCTAAGAAGTCGGATTGCGCTATGCCTATATATCCGACGGATGAGTTGTCATATATACTGCAGAATCGTATTTACAGTAAAACCTTCCTAAAGTTATACAGTTGGGAACAAACCAATTTTATAACCTAGGTTATTACTTTATAGAGTGGTAGTTAAAAGATATTGTTATTGACTTATTTACCCTTGATGAATTTTGTATTTCCTAAATTGGATTTCTTGGGCGCCAAGAATTTTATTTCTTGCATAGTACTCATTGATAATTCTAACTATACGGTGGTGCGATGTACTTAAGTTGGGACTAAGAAAAATTAAAACGTATTACAATATAGAGTTTAATTCAAAACATAACTTGTCCCAAGTTCGGATTGGAATTTGAGAACTTTAACAAAAAGTTTTCGGTACTGTTCACTTTAACACAAAATCACATTTTTACACTAGAAAGTCAATTTTAGTACTATTTATTTTACCCTTAGCGAAGCTATTTTATTGGAGGCTGTTTCGGATATTGCAGTCGCGTATTTATGAATCAATAGTAACAGTAAACTATCATTATCCTTGTTTCCGATGCTTGTTTATGTTACAACTATTTTTCTTCTTTAGAGAAAAGCTGCTTCTGCTACAACTTACAACCCAGCAAATGTACATTTACACACGTTTTGGTTACTTCTACCTATACCTGAACATCTTTGAAATTACATGAATATGAACAAGATTTTATTTCCATTTCATTTCTTTTCGTCGTCCTATCGAAAACCATGTCCTTGTCTCAGCGAGATAAAAACTTTGGTCTGATTTGTATGCTATTATTTGGTCCAACTCATCACGGCTTCAAGAGCGTTGGACCTGCATTTGAAGTTATCCACGACGCAATCACATCAACAAGCAGGCCTAAGTCTTTTGATGCTTCTGCACGAAGTACCTTTGACTCTACACCCCAAGTGCTGCCTACTTCTTTGGCAACGGTCTCCCATGGTGTCCCTACAGTAAGATTAGCCAACATCTCACTTCCGCGATTTACTGCATCTGCCATTGCCGGAGGCACATCTGGGAGAGCCTGCACGATAGAAATATTATTCATCTAAAATGCTCCTCTTTTAGAGATGGATCAAACTGGAACTGCACTCGGGGATTCTACTGTATACATTTGACGTACAGATGTCCAAAAATAAAAGCTACGGAGATTCATTTCCCCGCTATGGTTGGCACAAAATTCACCTGTTGCAAAGGAAGCCCGTGATCTCCAGGGTAATAAGCGAATTGACATGTCTAGCATAGAACTGATGGCCTGAATTTGAAATTAGCAACTGTGCCAAAGTTGAAGTCTCGTCGATCATATCATCCCTGAACTTCACCAGAAGATTCCGGGAAATACCGTAGTAAGATTTTACCTAAGAAAAAGCATCAATAGTGGGAAAATTTAAGTGGTAAACCTTAACATTAAATATGAAGAGAAGCATAGAAGCAACTTGTAAATAGTTATAGGTTTGCTTACTAGTCGCCGAGTTTCTTCTGGTTTTGGAGCAAAATATTCTCTTCCATTAACTAAGTCCATATACAGTGGAGGGAGCTGCTCAACTAAAGGAAGAACTTGCTTCATGATGGGAGGGCTAAGGTTTTCGAATTGCTTCAAAGTCATTTCTGCCTGCAAGCATTTCAATGTCGGAGTTTCTTTGTTACTAGAAATGAATAACGGAATTCCTCAATGAGATGATACATAATCACGCTTCATATGTCATGGTTTAAAAACTAAATATACATACATGTACAAATTTACAACACGTTAATTTTAGAAATCTCACCCCTAGGCGGATTGTTGGTGATGATGCAATCTGTGATAAAATTGGTCCAAGGCCTTGAGCAACTGGAACGACAACAGGTGAGAACAGAGGAATAGTTGAGCTTGCCTCCTGTCAAATTATGAAAGAAACAATGTTTTTACTTGTTATCTTTTGCTTCGTTCTAAACGTAAATATGATGCACTGTGAGATGTTAAGAGATGGTGTATAGTTCAACTGGTTTCAGCCTAAATGAGAAAAAAATTATAAAGCAAACTGTTAGAAATAGTGAGAATTCCACCTCTTCTCATCTCAATTTCTTCTCTTCTTACCGAGTTCTGCAATGTATACCAATGAAGTCAGGAGGTTAAATACCTTGTTATTGAATGCCATCAGCACATTCCCATTTCTTTGAACAGCATATCTTGAACCTAACCAACCATTCAGCCACGAACGTAATGAGTTTCTAAACCCAAAAGATTTGCACTCTTAAGTGCAGTTAGGAAAAAAAAGTGGCAATACCGATCAAAAGGTGGATGACAGATCCCAAAGAGTGGCCAATGCCGAAAGTAGGAAGATCTTGAACCTGTACAATCAAGCATCTCAGGTTTTGTGTACCAAAGGAAGAAAATCAAGCAGAATTCGAAACATACAGATTCTGAAGATAAGAAATAAAAACACACCGTCTCTTTAAGAAATCGATAACACCTATCAAATTTGAATTGGGTTTCATCTGCAATGAAGAAGTGATCAAATCCACTAGCATATGGTGTTGCAATCACCAAAATACCCCTACAACACATAAATGGCTGAATCATATTTTCTTCTGTCTCAAAAGCGGAAACTTCCATCAAAACCACTAGTAGATAGACAAAGATCAAATACAACTTTCTAATAAAAGAAATCAGGACAGCATATAAGCTGTACATGCATGATACAAACTATTCAAGTTAATTACCAGACAACCAAAGTTCTAACTGAATCTCACTTTTCTGAGAGGCGCTCAAGAAACAAACGGTAGGTAAGCTGAGGGGCGGCTCCAACAAATATGCCACCAATAAAATGTACAACGGCCTTGGGTTCTGAGTTTCTCGGTTTGAGAACCCATGCTCCCTGAAATATATAATGATAGATAGGTTTAGTAAGGTTATGAATGAAGAATATCCTTCCCACAAATGAAACATACAAGAGATAGAGTAAAAAAACATATGGCTGCTTTTTCATTCAGTGTCTAACATATACTATCTATTCCTTGAAAAAAGGTTCGTAGGCGTTCAAGCTAGAGCCTTATGAAATGCTCGAGAAAGTTTCTCAGATTAACATCTGCAGCCACTATCTGGTTTACTCATCTTTCATTTTGAATGGCCGCGATGGGTGTGAACTTATATAAGTTGCACTTCGAGGCGAATAAGGAAACGGACACCCAAGCAAGGATGACCAAGTAAAGAAGAAACTCTGAGGCTGCTTAAGTCCTTACTAACGAGAGTATAATTTGATTGGGGGCGTTTGACATGTATTGTTTCCTTGTACAGTTTCAACATTATAAACCTAGCTTTCGTAACTCAAAACAAAAAGTAAAACTTGCTACGCAGATTCGACAAGTTTTGATCCACCACGAAACCAAGTTTCGATCCACTACGAAAACGGAATTTTAACTAAATAAAAGTGGTTCCGAATACAGAATTCATCACGGAATATAAACATAACTGAAACAAAATTTGAAATCCTGTGATGGTTGACCTGTGCAGATTCCAGAAAGCCTTGTGCATACATGAATGAAACTAAAACCGATGTGACAAGCCGAAAAAAAAAAAAGCATGAAATGATACCTCAACTTGAGTCCAGTCGCCTGTACCATCCCAACGACCTTGGGCTTGCCTCACTGTCTCTGTAAGTAATCTAAAAGTAGATAAAACTAAAAATAAATATCGATAAGGCGATATTCTAAACTACTCTAGTTCAGCGTAATTCGACCACAGGATGCAATGGGGCAGGTGCGCACACACTGCCTGAACAACTTACCTCTCAATCTCAGAGTAGAGCTGAATCCCAGTTGGTTGTGGACCCTGTGGACTTGGTGGTTGTGATTGTCTCCTGGTCGTTTCGTCGTCGTAGTTGCAGCAGATTCTGCTCCGACGACGGCGCTGAGAATTCGAGAGGCTGAGGACGCGGCTCTGCGGCTGAATCAGCAGCCGCTTACTGAAAGATCGATGAGGGTGGAGATTGGGATGCGGCTGCGGACTCCTTACCCAGCAACTGGCCATGCTTTTTCTGCTCAAAGACTTCAACTTTTTCCGACCCAAATGCAAAAGCTTCGATCTTTAGATTCAAATTCCACTGTATTATTTTCGCTCTTGTTCAAATGGTCAGCTGCCCTGTCATCGTCTTCTTTCTTCAGAACTTAAACGACTTGTGCAGAATTGAAATTGGTGACGTGGCCCAACCTGACCACACCCAGTAAACGACACCGTTTCCCGGCTCTTCTCATAATCCTGCACCAGACAAAGTTTTTGTAACTTGCGAAGAACGCTTTGTCTGGTTTCAGTTACCTTCTGATGTCGATTTAGACAATTAAATTTAAAGTAGACAAAATTGAATTATAATTTATAATGGCAGATATTGAGTAGTTAAATCTATTTTGATGAGCCATTTATGTGAAAACATATTCCAATAGTGTAGTCAATTGAGTAGGTAAATTTTGTCTACATACGAAATATTACCTACTTTTAACGTTATAGGCAAATCGGGCTCTACGTCTCTATTTATATTAGGCTAAATTTTTTTTCACAATCCTTATGGTGAGCTCCAATTTAAACTGACTCTGTAGTGAATATTTTGTTAATCATAACCCCTATGGTCAAACATGTTAGCAATGTCAATCCAATTTGTTATTTTCGTCAATCTTCCGATAAATCTCTGTTAAGATGTTAGGGGTAAAAATGTCATTCACTCTCATTGTTTGTCTCAACTAACAATAAACTGTCACTACTTTACAATAACTTTAGAGCTGTGCTATACTACCATGCACAAACTATTAATGAGTATGCAAGTAGTCATTTACCACAGTAATGGAAAGAAGAGTGAGTTCAAACTCCGTCAGTAACTAATCTAACAAAATTATATCGTTTGACCAAAAAAAAAAAAAACCTATTAGTGGGCATGAGAGAAAGAGAAAAATAGTGAACATTCAACAAATTAAAAATTAAAAGTAGGAAATTTTTATTTGAACACATGTCTACACCCAACTTAAATTTAAATTGTTAATTATCTATTTTACCCTATTGCATAATTAATATTAAGTACAAAATGAAATTAATAATAAAACTCAAATTTATCAATAAAACCATTAAACCCTACCATCGCTTATTGTTTATCCTACGTTCATTCTGGCTAAAACCCTAATAGGTCTTGTAGAGAAAAACAAGTGTTTTTTTTATGGATGGTGATTTTGAAGTTTTGAATCATTTAACTAAGGTATGACTCAATTTATAAATATTTTATTCGTTTGATTTCAATTTTTTTTTGAAGTTTAGAAGTTGAGTATTTAGGTTTCAATTTCTTTCATCAATCCCGAAGGGTTTGTTAAACTTTATGCGATTGGAATATTCTACGGAAAAACGTCTTACCAATGTTCTTAAATTATAAACTTCCTTGCTTGTTGATAAATATAAGGGGATGAATTGTTTGATTTGTTGCTTATGCACATCAGTAGAAAGAAAAAAAGGCAAATGTCTGGGTTTGGTAGCAAAAAGAAAAAAATAAAAAAAAGTAGCCATGAAAATGCTAGTGGGAAAAAGGATATAGAAAGATATTACATGGATTCAAATAAAATTTTCTGTAAAATTAACATAGTTATAATTTTCAGAATAAATCCAACAAAAACAAAAGATTAAAGGTCAAAGATGGCATGAAGTCATTTTTGGCAAAAAGTTAGAGATGTCATTAAGATTTTCATTAAAAATGGGTGGAGAATTAGAGTTGGTGGGTGGGTCCATCCTCACCCAAATTTTATGATCGAGCCCAATTCGCTGGCCGGTCATTATTTGTATTAAAAAAACAAAAAATATTTAATAATAGTGTGAAGAAAATCACTTTCCCGTCGGAGTTTCCACAAGTTTGGATCAAGAGGACCAACAAGATTCATCCTCTGTATTCATCACGTAAGAAAATGCCCAACTTCAAACGCCGGCTGCTCCTGGCGGCAATGCTGGCGCTGGCCGTCTCCTCCGCTTCCTGGTTTTCCATCTTCCCCCTCCACTTATCCAAACAAAACAGCCATAATTTGGGTCTGTCCTCTCCTCCTCCTCCCCCTCCAGATTCAGGCCCTTACCACGACTGGGACCTCTTCGCCGCCGATTTCCGAGAAATGCTCCAAAGCTTCAAGATTTACGTCTACCCCACCAATTCCAACAATTCTGATCCTCCTTCCTCCCCCTCCTTCGCTTCATTCCCCGCCGTCTTCCTCCCCCACCCCAACCCCTTCGACCCCAAGCTCGGAAACTACTTCAGCGAGCACATGTTCAAGCTCTCTCTCCTCTCCAGCTCCCTCGTCACCACCGACCCACAAAATGCCCACCTCTTCTTCCTCCCATTCTCCGTCAATGTCCTCCGCAACGACCCCCGTGTCCACTCCGAGTCCTCCATCGCCGAGTTTGTCGCCAACTACACTGCCACCGTCGGCCGAGACTTCAAAATTCTGGAACGCCTCCTCTGGCGCCGACCACTTCTACGCCTGCTGTCACTCTGTTTGCAGAGAGGCCGGCGCCCAACATGCCGGGCTGCGCAACAATGCGATCCAGCTCACTTGCTCCTCCAGCTACTTCCAGAGATTGTATGTTACGCATAAAGATGTCGCCTTGCCGCAGGTTTGGCCACGGCCTCCTCAGCAATCCCTCAACCCCCCACATGCCAGGTACTATCTCCAACCCAACATTTTAGTTTGTATGTTTTGTATTGGGTAATGCTTAATTTCTTTGTCCAACTGTTAATTTAATACCACGCTAATCACTTCTTCTAGATCGACCAATAGCGTTACTGGGTTAAATAATCGCAACCACATCAAAATCATATGCATGATTGTTTTCTGTTGCTGCGACAAAACCGCATTTGCAATAGCAATATAACATGCGATGTTATGCTCAATGCAGGGATAAGCTTGTTTACTTCTCAGGACGAATTCAAAACTCGAACATTCGCCAACAGCTGATCGATTTATGGGGCAACGACACTCGCATGGACATATTTCCCGGCAACCCGTCTTACCCTTACGAAGAAGGGTTTCGGAGAAGCAAGTTTTGCCTCCATGTCAGAGGCTACGAGGTCAACACTGCGAGAGTGAGTGATGCAATACACTACGGCTGCATTCCGGTTATAATATCCAACCACTACGAGCTTCCATTTGCTAATGTCTTGGATTGGACCAAGTTCTCAGTTATTGTCAACAGTGGCGAGGTTTCCTTGTTGAAGAAGACATTGTTGTCTATAACAAGACAATCGTATGCGAGGTTGTACCGTAATTTGATCAAGGTTCGTCGGCATTTTGTTTGGCACGAGACTCCGAAAGGTTACGACGCCTTCACATGACTGCTTACCAGCTGTGGCTCAAAAGAAGCTCTCTGCGTCTGTCCGCCTAAACGAAGTTCCGGCGTTGTATCTTTACACTTATAAAGCTGAATATCACACTTGTACCACATGAACGATTTGCACCATACTTTGTGAAACACGGCATGCGTAGTAGAAACTGAATGATACCAGTACAACAGTTACAGAAAACCCCCAAAAAACAACCAATAACACATACTTTCAGGAATTACACGCTCAAGGCCAAAATGTAACGAATCCACAACGAAGATTCAACGGATTATTTACTCACAATAGAAGTCTAAGTAATGTACAAGTAGAAACAGACTTCTTACAAAATGTATTGTGGCTATAATCCAGTTATACGGCACACTAATATGGGTTCTTAAAACATGTAATTTTATTCAATTTGTAAACGTACTACAATTAATGTTCGGCGGGCTGTGACTGGTATGTGCGCCGCCTCAGCTGAGCCTCTGGTGTGGGCTGCTGCAAGAAGATCCTCGTTGGATCATTAGGATCGACATACCTGCAAAATTAGGAAATCATAGTTAAACCAATGATCCTTCTCTGCCACTTGACTACAAGCATAAAACAGCAAAATACGTTCACTTACGCATGTCTCATCATCTCATCAACAGGAGTTTGTGCTGCTTGCAAAGGATCCACATGAGGCTGAGACCCAGCGTTGGGGTGTTGATACTGGTTATATTGTCTCACTGCAGAGATCAAGTTGAAAAAGAGTGGAACGAACGTCCCACAGCCCCCTTCTTTGAACAAAATCTTGAATGAGTGAGTGGAATAAAGCGCCCCATGCTGACCTTCTGGAACCACCTGGAATTAGCCATCAAGACCGATAAGATCTCCAAAATCAGAAACGGGATATGGGATGGCCAATAATTGAAATCCTCTAACCCATATACTTACTGGCTCCACTTGACCAGCAATGTTGTTGCAGTGGAAAATTGGTTGATTAAACTTTTCACCATGGACGTAAAGCTGAAAACCGGATGAATCCAAAGGTCAGTGAGATGCAAATAAATACATACAAAAGAAACACAGGAAGAGACATCAACTATGCATGAAAACTGCACTGGAGACAAAAGGTCAATCGTCACATAAAAAATGCTTTTAAGCCTTACACACATAATAACAGTAGCACTCGCCTAAGTCCCTAGAAATATGCACCACTAAGGGACTGAAATCCAACAACTGTTCGATATCACATTATTATTGCTGTGGGATTATGATGGTTGACAGTGAAAATTAGGGTGGTTGTAGTGGCAGAGAATGGCTGACTGTAGGTTTATGACACATTTGTGACATAAAAGGTTGATTAAATATGTTGTAATTTCAAATTTATCAGTTCATAGTCTTGGTTAGATAATGGCAAGGAGAGATGCAGGAACTTTAACTCAGGATTCTACTGTCCTCCCTAAGATCCAGTAGAGGGCCCTCGGATCAATCATATGATGATACCAAGGATTTAATAACCATGCTAAATAGCCCAAAACATAGATTTGCGGAGAAACAGTAAAAAAAAGATCTAACCAAACATAAAAATAAGGGGAAGATGAGCTCATGATTGACATCAAATCAAGTATTTGAAATTGGGTCAGTGAATTAAAAAGACGCTCACAAATGGCGCTGCGAGCTTTTGGGCACACGGGAAAGGGGCAAGTGGATGGAGAGTGCTTCTCAACTAGGGTGTGGGGTTTTCCTTTTCAGTGGGGTTTTACCCTTTTGTGGAACGTTTTTAATTCTTCCAGCAAAGTCTCAATGTAGCTCACAATAGGGAAACAGACTAAGAACTCAGCAAGCTAAACATGCCAAAAGCAATACATCTGTTTGGTCCAATATAAAAAATTAAAGCTCGTTGCTTCGGACTTGATATAAACATCAAAAGGGGCTTACACGGTTATAATCAACAAAAACAAAGTGTTAGAACCTCCATTTGAGACAGGTACAGCGTTGAACAAATTCCTATTCTTATATACCAGATTATATGTCTATCTACATTTTATAGTTTCATGTTAGTATGAGTCTGGCAGTTCCGAACGATATTTCTTGTTACTGAACACTAACAAAAAAAAAAAAAAGAATTACATAAGAATCATCAGGTTTTGAATAAGTTTATTCACTTCAAATGAACTTCTGAAAGAAAACCGCAACAGAAGGACGAAAGGAAAGCAATTTAGAGTTAGAAGCAAGAGTCACATACCAGGGGCATATCAAAAGCAAAAAAGCTCCCAACAGGCTTGTTGGAAACAAAGACCATCCGTATATTTGACAAGTAGATTGTTCCCTTCGCTTTCAGACGACCACCGTCATATCTGCAAGTGCAAGTTGGAGGCAAATGCTCAATACAGAAACCAATTCCGATTTACCCAAACAAACAAACAAACAACAGTTGGACACTGCTGCAATCTTCTTCCAACAAATCCACAGAAATCAAATAAAATAAATGTAGCAACTTTAAATTAAACAACCGTCAAATCAAAATTCCAATGGAACCCCATTTGAGAAGGATGAAGATTGAATGCTTTGATCATTAATACTAGCAGAATCGAATTGAGTCGCAAGAAATTGTAACAGAGAAAAAGTGAGAGACGTGAAATCAATCAAAATTGTAAGAGAATACGACGACCCGGGAATCTTATCGACCTCGAACTCGACGCCGTCTCTGGCCAAAACGAACATCTCGTTCACGAAAGGAACGGGCATGCCATTGGGGAACAGTTGAGGATTCACAGCCATCTCTCTCTCTAGATTTCTCGGTCTTCTTCTTCTCTCCTCCGGTGGACCGCTAGAGGGATGGATCACTTTTATTTCACCGCATCGCTCTGCTCTGGTTTCCTTCGGTGCGGGGAAATATACCGAAACGGACACGTCTTTAATTTGTTCCCACGCTCTCCAGCACTCCCCCGCTTTCCGCAACCTTCTCGAACGTAATATCTACACACATCTATTTTTTTTTTCTTTACTTCTTTTTTTTTTTTTTTTTGGAAATTTTATCACGTCCTTAAATTATAAATCTTACTAATTTTGAGCCTCCCTAATTTTTTTTTTAAAATTTCCCTAACTTTTAATTTACGGTAAAGTCTATGTCAAAGTCCCAAAAAAAAATAATTCTCAATTTACTAGAACTAGCCTTCATGCACGGGCTCACGCACATGCAAAAAATATTTTTTAAATCACGGCATGCTACGCGTGATTTACACGTTTTAAATATATTTATATGCGTAAATTGACAAAAGGAAAGTCAAATATTTGAAGTAAATGAATAATCTTAGATCATGCTAAAGGAAACCCCTCATAAACCAATTAAAACAGCTGAATTCACACAATAAAATCGGTTTCTATAGAATTGTAATAGAGAAAATAATATTTAATGAATAATTGATTGAATCGCATTATTCCTAGCCCATTGTGAGGCTAAGCTCACCCCCTCCCCATTCGTATAGATAATATCGTTTGTTAAAAAAAAAAAAATCATTTGACAATTAATTTAATCACATTATTATGCATGTGCGAAAGACATTTTTTATAAACGGCATTACATGCCTCTTAAGATATTTTGAACGTGTTTAAAAATAGAGAAAATAATATTGAATGAACAACTAATTGAATCACATTATTGTTAGCCCATTGTGAGGCTAAGCCCACTCCCTCCCCCTTGGTGTAGATAATATCGTTTTTGTTTTAAAAAAAAAACATTCATTTGACAACTAATTTAATCACATTATTATCAACCCATTGTGAGACTAAGCTCACCCCCTCTCCCTTAGTGTAGCTAATATCGTTTGTTAAAAAAAAAAATTCATTTGACAACTAATTTAATCACATTATCATCCGCGAAAGACATTTTTTTTTATAACCGACATTACACGCTTCTTAAGATGTTTTGAACATGTTTGAAAATAGAGAAATTGAATCACATTATTACTAGTTTATTGTGAGACACTAATTAAAAAACAAAAAACAGCACAAAAAAAATTAATTATTACAAAAATACTATCAAATGACATCCTTAATTTTTTTGGGAAAAAAAAAATTTGCATCGTCTAGAGAGACGTATGACTTATTCTTTTAACATGTTCTCATAGTACTCGTAGATGTGAACGCATAGGCGAAAGCCGTTTGCGAGTCCGGATTATAACGGTATAGTTATGGACGTTTGAAAATGACTATTTAAAATTTAGTTATAAATTATTTGAATTCCCACCTTGTGGGAAAGTGGCCAATCTGATTTTAGGCACAAATAGGAAGGAACCAATTGAATTAGAGGGAGAAGGTGAGACCCAAAAATAGAAGGAAGAAAAAAAAAAAAAAAAAAAAACTCCTAACTTTCCCGTGGGTTTTTCCACTCGCGACCACCCATTTTTCAAGGTCGATTCCGGCCAACTCCGGTGGAGTTTTTCGACGCCACCACCACCATCTTGAATCTCTCATTCCCCTCTACAAAACCCACCCAAGAACCACCTTGATTAACCATGGTATGTGGCGGTTTAAGGCCACAAAAGTTGGCGGTTCTCACGGTGCTCCGGGCACCCTTTTTGATTTTCCGGCAAATCGGCAAAGTGATGGCCGATGCCACCACTTGGGCTTTGTAGCCCATCATCCCAGGAGTAAAACCCAACCAACCTTGACCCTGTTGGACCACTGTAGAAGACGAATCGACACCGGGAAGTTTTAGGCACCCGTCAGCTTTGTGGGAAAAATTGACCATCTTCCGTCCACTTTTGGACTTCGTGGCAGGTATGAAAGTTGCTCCACTCACTGAGATCTTCATTTCTGTGAAGTTTGAGAATTTTTGGAAATAGTTGGATTTTCCGGCGAGTCAAGGCGGCCGACCGCCACCCGCGGCGGCGCGTGGCCAGTGGGCCGCCAATGCTATTTTTAGGCTATGTCGAATGTCTTGAATTTAGTTTTGTTATTTGAATGACGTAGGTTGATCATTGGAACCTAAATTTGATACGATACGTTACTTGATAAAAATGTGAATCGACAATCCGACCGTTAGATCGTCACCAAAATTGGATACATTATATTACGTAATATTTAAAGATCATAGGAATTTATGGATCGGGAATCCGACGTACGGATCTTCCTGAATTGGATTTGTAAGTTAGTAAAATAAATGTTCACGACCACTTATTTTAGGTAATTGGCGGAGATCCGACCGTTGGATAGTAATGAAATTTTAATATGTTATTCTAGAAACTTATTGTGGATTGTTGGAGTTGCGGATTGGAAAACTGATATGCGGATCTTCCGGGTTGAGTTATACAGGGTTGTAGACCTTACCGTCGATCTTTGATCGACTGTTGATATGTGGTCAATAGGTCTCAAACTATTTTAGAATGCCTTTGAGGTTGTGTTTTATGTGAATTATGTATTCTATGGATAAGAGTTCTAAGATGTGATTTGATAATTGGTCACAGAGACCAATCATTCAGGACACCTCGATGCGTGCGCTAGAGAATCATAGCGTGGACTCCAGGTGAGTCCATCTTTTCCTTTTTATCGTACATATTATTGAGAGTTCTATCGACACTTTTAAATTGATTAGGTATATTACTTTCATATATAATTATTGTGAATGCTTGAAGTACTATATGAACTACGAATGGTTTGATCTCTGTTTAGGGTACGTAGGCAGTCTAACGAGACGTTAGATGCAACCATAATATATTTGAGACAAAAGCCTTATTTGGGAAATTGAGTAATGCGAAGGAAATTGGTAAAGGCAAGTTTTAGTTTTGTGAATTAGTTAGTTAAATTAGTGTTAATTGGGCTGTCATGGATAATTATCCCTGAAAAATAAGTAGTTTGTGAGTAGGGCGTTATTGATTGTACATTTCACACCGTATTGTTTATAATTGAAAATGCTACGACATGGTTGAGTATTAGATTGCATCATGGTATATCCATATGTATATTACTTACATATAATTATTGGGAATGCTTTCAAGTGCAAAGGTGAAGGCAAGACACCTAGGTAAGCTTCAGGAGAGTACATGTTGATGCTAGTGATGGTAGTGAGTACGATTGTGTTGAGATATAGTATAGCTCATAAACCTGCACCCCGGTGTTAGTGCTCCCGCCCGTGGCTAGGGCACAGTCCTTCACGTGATGTTCACATCTCGCACCTTACGCTCACCTTGGATCCAAGGTAGGTGCACAGTCCTGTCGTACATACCACTTTAGGTGGTTCCGACTCGTAGGTGACCCGCGATTATTCGTACAGTCTTCACGTGATCGTAGCACTTGAGCATATTTATTTACACCCAGTCCTGTCGTACATATCACTTTAGGTGGTTTCGACTCTTGTGTAGGTATACTTATTGAGCTATTGAATAGCCATGATTGATGAGATATGGATAAGTCGTACAGGTCACTATAGGTGACTCCAACTTATATGCTAGCCATGATTGATGAGATATGGATAAGTCGTATAGGTCACTATAGGTGATTCCGACTTATATGCTAGCCATGATTGTTGAGATATGGATAAGTTGTACATGTCATTTTAGATGACTCTAACTGACATATCATTTTGTATTGATTACGTTCATTTGGCCTACTTATTAATGCATGGTGGAGTTGATGGCAAACCGTGGTTTTGGTCATTTCTGAGTATGGTTTGGATACATGTATATATGTTGTACTGTCCTATAGGAAACGATAAAGGAATTACAGTGAGGGGTTATTACTGTTTGAAAGGTCATAGTTTTGGGAAGCTTGGTTTTACAGCTTACTCACACTTTCTGTTTTGTACCTCTTCAGGTTTAACTGCTAAGTTCGTATCGACGAGAATATATATATAGCTAATCTTAATATTGATGGCTACTTTGAAGGGTATGATTCTTACCCACACTACTGTACTTTACTTATGCTCTGACATCGCGTGTGAATTGGGTTCGCTCCCACTCGTAGCGCACTCTGGTATTTAGACACTTTTAGTTTCAAATTTATGCACATTTTATACACTATCACACTTTATGGCTTCGTCACCTTCCATGTGTCGGCCAACACAACTCGATTTGGAGTCTTTGTGGACATTCCAAGTCGGGGTGTGTCAGAAAATGACAAAAATACCCCTATCTTATTTGATGCATTATTTTGGGATGCCTTTGAAATTTTTTGTCTTGAAGGTATGTCTGTTCAAATATTTTTATTGAAACTTGATGACACCAAAATCACTATTCACTTTTCCATTGGCTTTATATATAAATAGATAATTAAAATCTCTCGAAAAAATTTGATCGAAAAACAGTCTTTATGTGATTTTTTTACCCTCCATCACCTCTCCCGCTTTCTCACCATTTTCTCTCTTTATTCTATGTTGCTGAACGGAGAGAGAAGAAGAAACGGTTTTTTTTAAATGATTGATATTGTTTACATTAAAAATAAAAAATAAAAGAGTGAGCAAATCTTCACGATAGGCTAACTATAGTAATTCAGTTCAAATTCAAGTTTAAAGAGAATCGAATTAAAAATTTATCTTTTACAAATTAAGAGAAATAGCACTAAATCATCTTAAATTAACAAATTGAAAATTATTAAAAAGGGGTGTGCTATTCACACACCCCATTTTACTTCTCACACACCCTTGATAATTTATGTCCATTGATCTTCTTCAATTCATCCGATTCAACAGCCGAAAATTAAAAAAGTATGTGAGAAGTAAAATAGAGTGTATGGATATCACACCCCTATTAGAAATCAGATGTAGTTTTCAATTGGATAGAGGCTTTTTCCTAGTTGTAGGTTTGGTTGACTTGTTGCATCCATGCAACTTCTTTCTTCTATTTATTTTATTTTATAAAGGAAAAAATAATTACTATAAATTAATTTGAGTTGAGGAGAGGAGGATTTGAACATTGAGTACAAGAGGGTTGAGCACACTG